CTGAAGCTGTTGTGTGGTTCTGAGAACAGACATGGCTGCTTTAAAAGTTGCACACGGTTTTGTGCATCCCATGTATTCTGAAGTGCTTATTTGGAGCTGAATCTGAAATATTATATAGCCTTAATACACATGGTAGAGAGCCAGTTTGGTGTAGTGGTTAAGGCATCAGGCTAGAAACTGGGAGACTGTGGGTTCTAGTCCCACCTAGGCACAAAGCCACCTGGGAGACCTTGGGCCAGTCACTTTCTCTCAGCCCTAGGAAGAGGCAGTGGCAAACCACTTCTGAAAAACCTTGCCAAGGCAGTCTCTGGGAATTGGACACAATTGAATGGATTAAAAAAAAAATGCATGGTAGTGCTGATCTTGTGCATTCCATTTAAACACATTTTTAATAAGGCTTACACTGTACTTTAACAATTATGGTTAATCCTTGGTAACGCATTACCTGTACAAATATTTGAGGTCTTGCACACTAAGAACTATGGTTCTAGAAAAAAGTACAGCTAAGTGACAAACTACTATACAAATAGTTGTTGAACATTAACAGATTTCATTCTTTACTTAGGTTAGCAATTTTGTGAAAAGTCTTAACTATTCTATTGAGTCAGATATTCACTAAATTGATGAAATGCTTCCAAAGATAGCACAAGATCTTTTTGCAGAAACTGCTGGTGTTATCATACGCTCTTTACTTCTGCATTAAAAAAAAAAAAATCTTTCAAGTCAGTTTTGATTCATGGTGGCTACATGGGTGACTACAAGTCCATGCAGTTTTCTTGACAACATTTTTGGAAATTGTTTGCCATTACCTTCTTCCTAGGAGTGAGAGAAAGTGACTGGCTCAAGGTCACCCAACTAGCTTCCATGGCTAGAATCTAGTTATATCTAATCCAGTGCTTTAACTACTAGACCAAACTGGCTTTCTTACCTCTCCATAGAAAAACCATATTAAGTATTCTTAATACCCAAACTATTAGAGTTTGTGAAGTAGAAGGAGTATATTTGACAGACACCTGACTTCTGGAAATATTGCTATTTGTATTTCTTGACAAATAGTAGATTCTAAACAGCAAATGAATATAGACTTGTTCTTCTGTTTACCAGGTATGAGCAAATGCATTAGAGCTACTAAAACTTGTTTGTGTACCCTTTCACCTATCAAATTGCAATAAAAGTAGAGACTTAAGATATGTAAGATCAATAAGCCAATGGCACTGTACATGTTGCTTACCTAATACTTATACATAACAATTTACACAATTCCTATCGTATTTCAGAATCTAATCAAGATAGGTTTCACAGTAGTGAAAATATTATGTTGAAACTAATCCCATTTGCTTTAATCTTGGACTGAGAGGTATTCAACCCAGGACATTAAATTTTGAATTCTTGTAGGTAAGGTTTTTTTAAATTAAATTGTTCAACTTTTCAGTAGTTGAGTGTATTATATCTATTAGATATTTTTCTAAAAACACATTGAATTCTCTGGAAAATGTGAAATATAGTCTTGATACAAAAGCAGAAACAATTATTCATAAAAATAAGTAAAAAATACTTTTCCAATTATGAGAATAATATAAGGATGTTGCCAGGTTAGCTTGTATAATAATGAGAGGTGTGAAGTACTGTATTTTCATTCATGTAAATTGAAGCCATGATGAATAATGGTTCTCAGTCCCTTATCTTCTGGGCTGAGGGATAATATTAGTAGGGTTAGTTACAAGATTAGGTTAGCCTGCTGCATACTTATGGTGCCGCTACTCAAGGACCCTATTCTGGACATTTAAAATTCTGTTCAGTTTATCTGGGCTGGGGGAAGAAGCATATGGTTAGGATATGTTAGGGTATGTTTGGGCCAGGCTAAATAGAATATAACATAGAATATAACATTCTGGGATTGATCAGTTTAATGGTATTGTTAAGAAAGATTGGAATAATAAACTTGTTTTAAAGACTGCAGATTGATTGATTGATTGATTGATTGATTGATTGATTGATTTAGTATGCCGCCATCTCCCCCAGATCCAATTGTAAATGCACAAGTACATTTTTGGGTATATCAAGTTGTGTGGAGCAATAGCCAGTCTATTATTCCAGACCTATGAGTACAGCTAATATACTGAAATTTATCCAGACAAATCTAGGTAGAATAGAATTTTCAGAGAACAGCATCTTTGGAAACTATTGGCATTCCTGTTTAATTTACATGCAGATTTTAGATGATACAGTATTAACTCAGTGCTTTGGATTTTTTTTTTTTTAAGAAACATAGTTGCCAAAGAGAAATATTTACCTTTGAAATCTCTGTTATTCAGCATAAGGAAATAAATATATGTGGGGAAAAAGTTGGGACAAGCAGGCTGAATTTGAGGAAAAGGTATGCAGAATTGGAATGAACTAGATGCCATGTTGCTGGCTTTCAGATTCTGTCATACAATATAAGAGTACATTTGGCCTTTGAAAAATGTCAATAATCATGTTCCAAAAAGATCAAGGACAAAAACTTAGTTTAATTTTAATTTACAGTAAATGCAATTAAAATTAAATTATGTTAAATACATTTAAATATGTTTAATCCCCAGTATCTTTAGTCATTTGCTCCTTTTGTCATATTAAAATTTACAAGGCTGCATCCTCTTACTTATGGCTTATATATATATATATTAGCAGGCCTCTCAAAAAAAGTCATTTCTGCATTTAAATCCAGGATTTTTGTTCTCGTTTATAAGTCCTCTTTTCTCCTTTGGACTGTATTTCAAAACATATTAACTTGAGAAGCAATATGAAATCCTTTATTGGACACTAGGATTGGGTTGGCAGTACGGTTTGTTTATGTATGTATGTATGTATGTATGTATGTATGTATG